CTTACTGGTGCTCCCACAGCAAGGAAAATGCCTTTGTCCAGGATTCTGTCAGTACTACAGAGGAGATGGCTCATTTGTTTATCAACACAAATGAACTAGTTGTGTTTAAAAATACAATTTTAGGAGTAAATTAATCTATGGAGAATAGGTCCAGCGTGCATGGAAACATGAAATGGTTTCAGACCTTATTTTTCTTGAAAACTGAAAAAGATGATTCTGTACTGTGTACAAATGCAGAACTATGTGCCTGAACCAATATGTCAAACTGTCATGTGGGAGATTTGGTGAAAAACATCTTGTCCTAAGGGAATAATTTTAAACACTATATGTAGGTTTGCTGCCTCATAAGAGATCATTACTCAAATCTATTCCCTCTTATGGTAGCTCAGCCTCTGCTTAACGGGCGCAGAGCGAACAGAAGCCTATTAACGCATCCTTTAAGAGTGGTTATCAATGGTAGAGGGGAAACTGATCTCTGATCAGGGAATACCGCATTTTTGGCCAGATCCTCTGATTTAGCCTTAACAAGATCAGTGGCAGTCCCGGGGCTTCACGCTCGGCTGGCCATCGAGGGCGGCAGCGGGGCCAGGCGGCCGGACCCTGGGCAGCGCGGCGGCTGAGGCTTTGTCAGAGCTGGTGAAGAAGTGTAAGGGACGAGCCCTGGGGCAAGGAGCTGTTCCAGGGATCTTCACCTCCTGTTTGTCACTTCAATCTCACAGGAATGCTGAAATGTGGAGTGGAACCCAATTCCAACCAGACCCCTACCAGACGGTGACTGCGCTCTCGCCCTGCTTGTCACTGCCTCCCCTGTCTTTTGTTCGTGGTGGCTTGGCAAAAAATGAGAGAAATGGCACAAGCAGCACCTGAAGAGCATCATAAACTCCTGGTGCCTCTGTGTAGCATCCCTGTTGCCCTGACTACACTCCATCACTCCCTCAATTAATCTCTCCTCTAACAAGGGGGGATGCATGTAATGCATGCTAGCCTCACAGGTGCACTTCATTTTAATGGGATTAGTTTACCTAAAAATCAGGATTTATCTGGCTTTACATAGAGCTTTGTAAGGTCGTCAAAGTTAAGAGAATATGTTTATTTTTTAGAAATGCATAAGAAGATGCTACCTGAGGGAAGAGGCTTTGCATGGCAGCTTAACGTGGGCTAAGGATGAAGAGGGAGTGAGAAGGAAGCTGGAGGATTGAAAGTGTATATACGTGGTGTCTTTGGGAGCAAGGAGAGTGTCAGGATCTAATCTCTCTAGAGAAATATGCTTTTCCTGAGCTGATGTGAAAAAGCAGCCTGTGGTGTGGATTTTTGGTGGAGCAGGACTTGTCTTCTCTGTGTCCAAGCTGCAGGCTGCCAGCGGGTGGCCAGGCTCCTGTGTGGGTGACCACCCTGCCACCAGTGCTGTGCAGACAAACAAGCAGCAACCTTTTCTTTCCTGAAGGCCTGTGTGCCTTTGCAAAGAAGAGCAGAACCAGAGCAGCTTCCCAAATGTGCCAGGTCAGAGCTGTGGATATGGGCCTTGGGAGGAGGGCTGGGCTGTTCTCTCCTGGGCTGGGCTTGTCTGGCTGTTGGCTTGTTTGTTTGGGGCTTAGAGGTTGAAGTGGGTTCTTGACGGTTAAGCTTGTTCAAAAGCTAAATGCGTAGCATTTACCCAAAAGCAAACTTTAATATTATTAAAACCAAACCAAACGAAAAAACTCAACCAAACAAAAACCACAAGCTTTTCTAGTCTTTTGGGAAGGTGAAGCTGTCTGTGTGGGTGTCTGCCTCTGCAGGAGAGCAGCCTGGCAGTCTGGTCCCAACTGCAATTCAAACCCTTGCTTTTGTGTGTTGTTGTAACTGATGAATGTTAGCAAACTATTCAGAGAATAGTTTGAAACATTTACCTAAAAAAACATACAGTGTGAAGTGCATTAAACAAACTGAACACAAGCATGTAAGGGTTGTGAAAAAGGCTGGACTTGAGTCACTTCCATGTTCCAATGAATGTTTGCAAACATTTCTTTTCTGTAGCCACCCAGCTCTTCCAGATGTTGTGGCTGGCTCTGGGAAGTGCCTGTGCACAAGCTGAGCTAATAATATTAATCAAACCTTGTGTTAGCTCCGAGGGCATTCAGTGATTATTGCAGGGTTTTCCTCTGCTGTGAGCAATTTTGCACAGTTGGCTGGGATGCATGTGCTGGGTTTTCCCCATCTTTATCTTCCTCTGAAACACGGAGTAGCTGCTCTGGACAGGATTGTGGTAGAATGGGCCAGTATAATCAAAGTAGACGGAGGAAATACTCTCAACCTGTGCAGTAAGTGGCTTTTGGGACCACCACCACTTCACCTGGTGTGTGCTGCCAGTGAGGGGCAGGTGCTGGCAGTGCCAGAGGAACCTGCTGCAGGCGCAGGCAGCGTGGTGGCTTTTACTCTGCCAGGGACTGTCCTCCCTAGCTCAACACTCACCCTTGCAGCCGGCAGTCGCAAAGCCTGCCAGGCCAGGATGTGCCCTGATCACAGCTTTCAGGGTGAGGAAACCATCATGGTTGAGCCATTTCCAGACTCTTTTTGGTCTTTGGTCACTTTGTTGCTTTGAGTGTCATGCCTTCCCTGTGAACACCTTGTGTGCTGACATGAGAGGTTTTACCTCTTATCTCTGCTTCAACATGTGCTGTTTTCAAGAAGCACAGACTATCCTGCGAACCAGGTAGTTCTGCTTGCACTGCCCCAGGTTCTGTTGTGTCACATCCTTTGATTTGGAGAGGAAGTCTTCACCCAGACCGTCTCAAGATCTTGGGTATGGAGGATGGTTCTTGTGACAAGGATATTCTTTTATTAATAGCACTTACAACTTTGTTGTGGTAGTTGCTAATAAGAGGCAGTTGTGCGAGTTAAACATCATTTGATTGGAGGTTCCTGGCTTTCAGCTGGGCGTTGCTTGTGACTGACAGTGCTTTCTCTGAAACTCAACAACTGTGAGGCCGTGACGTGATGGCACCATCTTGCATTACCTGGCTAATTTTAACCTCCTGAGTCCTCTCAGTCTCTGCTAACAATCCCCCTGGGGACTGTGTGCTGTGGAGGAGGCCCTGGAGAGACATCCCAGTGCTGATCCCATCCTGGTGCTGGTTCCTGGCACCTGCTCAGGGAACGCGCTGGCTCTGCCTTTTCTGCCAGTGTCCTCAGCCGAGGGGCTGGTCCCCTGGAGTCCTGCATTAAATGCTCCTTGCAGAAACACCCCCAAGGTCCTGGGGCCCCTCGTGACAGCAGCTCAGCAGAGGGACTCTTTCCTCTTTCTCTGCAGCAGAGGAAGAAAGCTGCTGTCACAAAGACTAATCTCAAGGCGCTGGCTTTTCCTGTACCGAGACCAGCATGTCCTGTATGTTCAGGGAGACCTAAGAATAAAAAATATGGGTACTGTGTGCATTGTAAGGGATGTGAACAAATACCAGTGTAAGAAAAGCATTTCCCTTTCTCCGTTGTCTGCACAATCCCGTTTGCATTTTAAACATTTGATACACGAGAAGTTATACCAATATATTTACATAGAGGATGGTAAGTTTAAAGAGCAAAGACAGGCTGTGCTCACGCCTCTGCCTGCCCAAGCTCTTCATTGGGTGTTAGATGGCAAACTCTGTTCTGAGGTTCAACTCTGCTCCTCGGCGCTGCGTATTAATCAAAACTGACTAAACAAGTCCAGTGCCAGCTGCAGGGGACTGTAATCCACTTTGGAGTTCAGGGAACACGAGTGTCTTTGACCTGCTGATGTTGGGTTCTTTGTGCAGCAGTGGGTGAGGGTTTCCTGCAGGGGTACAAGCGCAGGGTGCAGCCGTGCCAGGCTGAGGGGTGTGGGAGCTCTGTGTGTGTTCACACGTGGGTGCCCCGACACAGCGCTTGGCTGGGCCGGCAGCAGCTCCGCTCTGGAGCCACCGTCCTCCTGTTGCCTACAGCTCCATGTCCCCAGATTCTAGTTTCTCTGCATTGTGTTACGATACTCTTTTGAATACATGCAATTCTGACATCCTATAATCAAGTATTAAAAGAATTTTCCAGTCTAAATCAGGGACCTCCCAGCTAGTTTAAGATTATTTTTTAATTTCACTCTGATGATGTAAGAAGCTGTTCAGTTCCCATTTTGTATCTTGTGAAGAGGCTGGTTAAGTGAAACAAATACAACTTACTCCAAGAAGTGTGGTGAACCCACACTGCTGGGCTTTGTGGAACATGAGAAAAATGATGTGAAGAAAGGTCTTAAGGAGGTTAAACATTCACAACCATTTTCTGGTGTATTTGGCATGCTCCAGCACCACCCTCAGCCCTGTGCAATGGGCATCTCAGGGTTTATCAGAGAAATTACAGCCTCTGCATTCGGTAGAGCTACAGTGGGTCTGATCTTACCTCTTGTGTCTGGGTGAATATGAATTAAATGGTGGATGAGGAAATACAGGCTGCCTGTCGTGATCATGTTGGCTTTTTTTGTCTTGTCTTGCACCGTTCCTCTGTTTACTCACCATTTTTATCCCACAAAAAGCCCTTCTTCCAGGGCTGTGGCTTGTCTGCATTGGCTGAGGCATCCTCTGCTAAGAGATGGTGGATGGGAATGACCTGAGTGGAGGACACTGAGAGTTTGGGGCTGTTTTTTTGGGTTTGGGTGGTTTCAGTATCGATTTCAGATGCTGGAAGGCGCACAGAGCGTGAGAACTGCTGGTTGTGCCGCAGTCCAGGACAGACATTGTCAGTCGTGTGTACATCCCTGGTGTTCAAATATATTGCTGCTTTACTTTAAAACAAGTGCATGTGAAAAAATAACTTCTGTGCTGTTTTTGTGTCATGGTGAAACATGAGCTGGAGCAGCTCGCTGCGGGGCGGGAGGAAGGAGCTGCACCCGTGGTGGGGACTCTGGGGAGGCAGGAGCCGGGGCACGGGCCAGGGCAGGGATGGGGCCATCTCCCCTGGTGTGGGGCTGTGGGGCTGTGTTGCACGTTCTCCTAATGCTCTCTCTGAACCCCTTCCAGCCCACGACCTTCCCCCGAGCAAGACGCCGGCGCAGAGCGGCAGCCACCTGCAGTGCCTCTCGGTCCACTGCACGGACGAGGTGGGCGAGGCGAAGGGCCGGACTGCGGTGCCGACGTGGAGGTCCCTGCACTCGGACATCTCCAACAGATTTGGGACTTTCGTGGCTGCCCTGACTTGAACAAAAGAAATTATTTTTTTTCTCTTTTTAATTTCAAGGGGCCGCTACTGCTAGGTGGACTATTTTTCTAGGTTGGTACCTGCTTAGTGGCATATGGACTGGAAAGGGTTAATTTAAAGTAAACCTCAACTTTTTTTTAATCTTCTGCCACAGTATGTTACCAGTGTTAACCCTTCTGCAGTTAGCACACTTTTGCTTAAGATTTTCCTGCTAGACCACTTTTTCCCATTATTCTGTAACCTTGGCATACATTTATAGATGAGGCCTTTTCCTTTTTCATCTCAGCATATGTCCAAGTCACCTACGTCATAATGAGACAAAGATCATCCTCCTCCTCCTGCTTTTCTTCCTCATTTGCTTTGTTTGTTGTTTTTTTTTTGTTTGTTTGGTTGGTTGGTTTGTTTTGCTTTGTTCAGTGCTCATTGGTGGTCCTGAAGAACAGCAGTTCAGGAATAAATGCCAGTTAAAGTGAAATGGTCATCATGATAGTATATATTATATTGACACCCAGCCTTTGCCAGTCACATATAAACCAAACAGTTAATGCTCTGTTGAATATTCAGGCACTGAGCCTGCCCTTTCCCAAGAAAATGATGTTCTGTTATTAGTAACGTTCAGCCTGGCTTGCTCTCCACCTCCCCCTGCGAGGTGAGGACGTTCCTTCCTGTATTTACCTTGGTGAAGCCCAGAGACGGAGCTTGGTCATGAACGGGCTGGTTCAGGCACAGCTGGGGGAGGTAGAGAGGAGTTTTTCCAAGTCAGTCCAACAGGAAGTTTGCTTAATAATTCAGAGTCATTCTCTCCCCCACGGAACACCAGGCTCCCTCTGTGCTTGCAAGCAGGGGGAGCTGGCAGCCTCCTGGTCCCGGTGATGAGTCCACAGTTCCCACTTTATCGCCACTGGAGAAACACCCCCCCTTGTGCCCCCTGCACGAGCTGTACTGCTGGCCTGTGTCCCCAGAGCCCTGCCAGGCAGTGCTGCTGCATCCTGCCCATTTTTTACCCATTTTTAGCTGAAGAAAGATGCTGTTGATCAGAAGCCAGGTCCAGTGTCCCATGTGCTTGTCTGTGGGGCTGTCCCAGTGTGGTGGCAGTGGTTGGGGGTGGGCCAAGCCAGGCTACATGGGGGCTGTATCCCCAGGGAAAGTGTTTTGCTGCCTCCAGGGCAGGGAGACCCCACCTTAGATCTCCCCAAAATCATTTGAGTCCCTGTTTCCACCACTTGCTGAAGAACAGTGTTGCTGGATGCAGACAATGAAAGGAAAACCATACTTTCCTGCTTGTGATAGATAATACTCGTTTCAGAAGAAAGTTGGAAGCAAACCAGATAAAGCCACAACGGACGTGATGGTCTGAGGCTCCTGCGGTTTTCCGTAGCGCTGCCATTACTTGTGCCTCCCCCAAGCCTGGGTTGCTGTCCCACCCCACACGGGCCAGCTCGCTGGCCTCTGCTCCCTGCTGCTTGGCAACATCCCTGGAGGTCTGGGTTTTAGCTGTGCACTAAAGGTTGGCCTCTCTGGTGTTATTTATTGCTTCTGCAGAGAATTCACAACATGTGTCCCTCCTCAGGGGATGGAGTTTGAAGACTGCTTTGTATTTTATCTTTGATGATTGTGCTGGGCCTTTAATTGTTTTGTAGTAATGTTCTCAGTAGACACCAATGGAGAGAGGAAATTCTGCCTGAAACACCAGGGGCACAGGGTGGTCCAAAAACCTCACTTGCAGTCAGATGTGGCTTCAGAGACTCGCAGTGTTTGAAATGTTATTTGAATGTGCTCCTAGTAACCACACATGGATTGATTTCCTCTTATGGGTCTGGTCAGTGACTTGCCTTTGGGTGAATTTGGATAGTTTTTAACCTTGATTTTCAATCTTATTTTACTTTTTATTGAAGCTGGAGCTGCCATGAGGATGAGGACTTTTGCTCATCCTGGAGCGATTGTCTATGGAGCTGCCTCACGCCCGCTTGGTTTGGAAGAAAAGGACGGGATGTTCTGTACCTTCTGTAGGTGTGTGTGTGCTGCACAGAGCTTGAAGCTCTTCCCTGGCCCTGCAATAGAACATCCCTGCCCCCAGTAATGTAGCTCCTGGTCACCCCACTTGGGACAGTGGGGCTCTTTGCCCAGGATTTCTGAAGTCCCAGATATGTTTAACTGTACGTCCTGACAGCAAAGCACCTGGGGCTGCTGAGCTGAGGGGACTTGAGCACTGGCTGGGGGCTTCAGTCTGCAGCTCCTGCCTTGTCCTGGTGCTCCTGCTCATCTCAGCTGAGTGGGGCTTGGAGTAACCCAAGCAAAACACATGCCCAGACACACGATCCTGCGTTTCAGCACTTGCAGTTGAAAATTTAGGAAGCATTCATGGTCTGGTGGCATTCCT